CAAAAATGAATGAATTTATACAGATGAAGATGTACATTGAATGTTAATAAATAAAACTGAAAGATTATGACTTAATCATACCAGGTAGAACAAATGTTTCTATAAACGGAATACATGACAGGTTTCTCCAGTTATAAGATCAGTGTATAGACTGAAAGATCGCAGGTAGTGGCAGAACTGTAGCTCTGTGTTAGTCAAAGCTCACATAAAGCCCTACAGTAAGATTTTTTTCTCGACTGTCATGACATCACTGGCAAAATGAAAATAGCGAATTACAATGATGCATTGTACATGTAGCTACTGCAATTTAGAATCCAAAATTCTATTACAAATTGTTTCTTCCGCTATTTAGGAGGAAATGGTGAAACAAATACTTTCTAGTCAAATTGGTGACGTAAAATCAAGACATTTCAATTTTGATAGTATTTTCTGGATCCGGCGTCATGGGGAGCATCGATACATTCTCCAAGTCTTCGCTACACTCTGCGTCTGCTTCATCTGTCGTCTGTCTGTCTAACTTGTTCAGGAGTCTGGGGCCCAATAAAGCTATAGCCAGGGCTCCAATAGGAGCTGTGATTATTATAGACAATACAGCAGTGGTCAAGACGACAGTGCCGTGACGTATGAATTCCAAGTTGTTGTCTGCTAGTGCCATGTCCAAGGCTAACCCGCCTATCGCAGCCTATAAATAGAAAGGTAGCTTACCAAAAACAAGTTTTAAGTTTTTATCAGTCGATTTACCGGTATATAACAAGAGTCAAGTAGAATGATCGTCTTATTAACTTACCTGAACAGTTGCCTTGGGAAACCGCGCTATTGCAATGAATAAGCGTTCCTTCTTTGAGAACTCTGTACCGAGGACTGATAATACAGCCGCTCCCATTCTTAATGTTTGTCCTACTGCAATGACCGCAGTACCCAAGCCTAGATAAAGTAAAATATAAAAATAACGAAAATTAATCAACTTCAAACGTCCAAAGGAATAATTTCAATCCGATGGAGAGCAAACGTGAACCTCTATAAAGATCAAAGGTGGGATCAGGTGTCCACGGACGATCAAGTATCCCTCGTAGACTGGACACGCCCGCCGTAAGCTCCTTGATATAGTTAACGTTTGTTCATGATTTATAAACAAATAAACAGATTACTAACTCACCTAAGGAACTCAGATCGTGAATTTGTTCCGATTTTACTGCTGCACCGATGAGTCCGAATAAAAATGGCTGAAATAGCATCCACAGAATACCCGTCACCTCAGCCACCGTATCCTACAAAAGAAAGTTGTTTTAAAAGTTTGCGCCCCATTGTTAGTAACAAAGTTTCCAAAAATGGAACGATTTGAAACATTTCATGAACAAAATTCTGATGACAATAATAGAATATTCCAATATGTAAAGCTATGGACTGTTTTATTGGTATGTAGACATATGCCATACAAGAAACGAATTCATTATATACTGATGACCGCTTCTCTGGCTTACGTTTTCGTCCTTCTTTCGTTCGTTTCTCCATCCGAAAGCTGCAACGAAGCCCACAGCGAGACAGCCCAGAGGACCAGCTCCTGGTAGGTGGGCCAAAGGACTGCCATAAATAGCAACGAGACCGAATCCCACCAGGAGAACAGACCGGTAAAACGTTTTGTTCACCTAAAATTGTTAATTGTAAATAATATTTGGAGTGTTAATGTACTGGGCTTTGTTTTTGATAGGGAAAATCGCTACAAGGAATTATCCTGAAGAGAACTTACGCTGTCTTTTGATGGGAAATACCACAGGAAAACTCCAAAAATGGCGCCGTATGCGATTCCAAGGAGCATTTCTAAAGGACCTTTAGCAATTGTCAGTGCCAACTCCCCTAAAAAATGTAAATATTTTCTTTAAAAAAATCTTTGATATGAGAGACAATATTCATAAAATTGACAAGTTAATAATGTCATTTCCTGCCCTACAATGTATACAAAAACTGTGCATATTTTAATGTTTAATTTTGGTTTCTTTCATAAAAGTATAAAGGCTTTTTTTATTTGAGTGAAAGGAAGAATGAAAGTTATACTATTAATTATTTTTTCATAGTTTAGGCAGGATTCAATATTTTAAAGAAAGTTGTATTAAACGACTTTTTTATTCGCAAAAGCAAAAACTCTAAATTCGACATTGTTTGAAACAGACAACAGTCGAGCCACTTTATCTACACGCTTGTGATTCCGCTGAAATCGTCCAGATTACGTTATGAGGGGGGACTGGAAGGAATTTTAGTTGTAAATGTAAATTCTCTTCTAAAATTTTGTTCGAAAGATAAACGATCCGGATATCTGGCACCCATAATATCGAGGTTCAAATGTATATAAAAACTAGATGTACATGCACTGTGAGCAATGAGCTCACTAAATGATACCCCCGCCTCCCATATGAATGTAATGGCAGTGTGTATGTTTTCCTGTGGGAAACCCAAAATATGTGCCGGATCAAAAAGTAAAACAGGCGGTGCATAATGGCATTATGTAATAAAGATTCTGTGAAAGTTTCATCAAATTTATTCAGTGGTATGAGAGGAGTTGTGGATAAGAGATGGGTACCCCAAAGCGTAACAGACGGACGGACAGATGGATGTACGGACAGACGGACATACCGATAACTATGCACCATCCCGCTTTTCAAGCAGGGGTATAAAAATCTAAAGAACTAAATTCTCTCTAACATAGAAAGAAATTGTAAGAAAAGCACTTGTTCTTTATATACAAGTTGTTAAAAATATAGTTAGTTGGAGTTACGAAAAGGCTTGCAAGCTATTATTGTCAAGATTTGTATGTCATTTACCTTTTAATGTTTTGGAAAGAATGTAAAACTTTTCTATGCTAAATATCACAGCTGTTTCTGTTGCTTCAAAATACTTCAATTTTGAAATGCAAGTCTGATCTTAATGATATGAAGGACAAGGAAAAATGTCAGGGTCTCCAGTAAATAATACACAAAGACAAGAAAGCGCTAATCAAATGACGAGTTGTCCAAATAAAAAGTACATATCGAGTAGGCAAATAAATGTCAATTTATTCTGCAGCCATGCAAAAAATTGATATGAATTATTTATAATTTTCATAATGAGATTTTTTTTTATTTTTGGGAAAACCTCCACCCTATGATTTTAACGGCACATGTCCTTGGTTTTTGTTTTTTCAAAAGGGGAATATTGGCATTTCAAAAGGACACACTGAAAATAAAAAATTCTCGGTCGTTTGTCTCTTGTGAACAAAGTGACCTATTTTGCAAAAGAGGTTATTTACCTCCATTGAAGGAAAAGATATATCTAACTTTCAATATAATTTGAGTAAACCATATCTATTTTTTGAAAGGGGTATCCCACCAAGCATATATCTCTCGAAGTAACCAATACATCTTTTTTCTTTCGTTAAATAAAACCTAGTTGTAGGAATGATATATCATTAACGAAAGGAATACGTACATCCTGGATTTCAGAGATAACCCCTTAAAAATTTAAAAACGTTTTCTCTTTGAATTGAATAGATCTCTTGTTTTTCCATATTGCAAAAGCCACAGATGAACAAAGCTGCAGATATATAGCATTAACAGTCAAAGAAATGCCTGACTTTGTTGGACCCCCTTCTCCACTCCTTAAAATAATGCACATGCATTAAAAACTCTTCCAGCACCTTGTGAGAAAACTATTCCAAGAAGTACACCAAAGCCTGTAATGTTGAAGACGTCATCTATTGTGGCGGCAGCGATGACGAGGGTGGGGATCCCTTTATCTAGGCCGTACCCAGAGTCTGCCAGGGTCAGGAGGGAGGGAACAACCACTGCCGGGGACACCGCCGACAAAGCAAAGCTGAAATATTTACGATTCCAATAATTGTATTGAAAATATTTTATTAGTTTCAGATATAATATAAAGCAAACGTCAACATTCTCATTTAATTATACAAAAAGATTAAAATGGAATTCAATCATACAATATCCTACAATCTTTCAATCTTTCACAAACAAAGAAGGCATTTTTTCTTACCCCAACATAAACGACCAGGTCCATGGCATGCCGAGAAGAAGGTGGGCGGATACAGCGTTAGTAGCGACCTCAAATAAACACGGTACCAGAGCCACCCTGAGGACTGTCAGGGAGAGTTTCCTGAGGGCCACGGGATCCAGACCCAGCCCAGCCCGCAGTAAGATCACAGTTAAAGCTATTTTCCTAGGATATTGATAAATATCATTTTAATGGTAAATTTCTTTTCATAATTGTTTACAAAGTTTAACTTTGGAATATTTTGTATTCCATAATCTTGTAAAGGAATTCTGATGTAAATAGTCTATTTTAATATAAGACTGTATGATTTGTTCAAACCGGTCAATAATATCAGGATTTTTTAGTGCTCACATTAAAAGATAATATCTGCACTAAAATGCTGTGTCACAACGCGAAATGTAATAACATCGCAAAATGTAATAAACCGGGCTAATTGCATTTTACGTTATTACATTTTGCGTGGAGATCAGCGCAAAATATGATAACGCAAATTTAAAGTAATTATCCCAATTTATTACATTTTTCGTTGTTATTACATTTTGCGTTGTTACAATGCTGTATTTCTGACATGGATATACAAGGTTTATAAGTGAAAAAAAAAATCCACTCAGAGTAAATTGTGGAGGAGACAGTTTGCTGTTATGAGCGTGTTGTTAATTGTGTGTGTCATAAACAGAAGAGTTGAAGAAAAGCAGCTTTATTTTTTTTATTTTATCTAGTATGTTTAGTATGGAGAACATTACTTGCTTAGAATTACTCAATTTGTTCAATTAATTACTACTAAAGTAGAAAATGTCGCTGAGTTAGATGTAGATTTCAATGATATTTTGTTTGAATGCCAGATTAAAAAAAAGTATCAAAATCGGCCTAGATGAAAAGGGTTTATGGGAAACTAAATATATATTTCTCTGATTCATTTATCAGAGAATTAAATGCAAATTTCCACAAGGCTTTATTATAAGTTTCACCTACTGCAAAGTGCAGGGAGTGACGATGCATTAAACAACAAAATGATTTATTTTCAAAAATTACATGACATCATTAAAAATTATGTAATATTCCTGAGACAAATTATCTATTTTTACACATAATATTGTCTCTTTACTCATTTATGCACCCCCCCCCCTCAAATATGGTCGGATCTTTTTTTAATTCTTTATGATGGTTTGAAATACTTCAAATGGATTTACATGTACAAGCGCTCATCTTAAAACTTGATTTAACGGAGAATTCCCTGTTCTTAACAATATTATTCCTGATCTTAGTTTCATAAATGCATTGATGATTAACATTTCAAAATTTCAGTTAATTACATTTTGAAGCTATATTGTTCTTTACATAAATGTGGGCGTTGTTTTATTTTTGTTGTATTTTTCAATAACTTTTTGTCAAGTATTATTGTTTTCTTTGTCAAAAATGTGTATTTGAAAGGTTATTTTTAGATTATAGAAGAATAGCATCGTAAAATGCTTTATCTTCTTAAATGTTTTAATTAATAAGATACAGACACAGTAAATTTTTTCATTACTTTTTCAAAGTTTAAAAAATACATTTATTCTTGGAAATGAATGTAGGTAGCCGTCTCCGTAAATTGTTATGCCAAATGTTGACAGCTTTACGCATACATTGTTGTAATTATAATTATCATCGGCCTAATGACTCATTAATAATCTGTCCACAAACATTAGCCGCTGCTCTGAGAATCAGCAGCACAGAGAGAGAGACAGAGAGAGAGAGAGAGATTGAATGTCTGTGAGGGTGTGTGTGTGTGTGTCAGAGTGACTACCACATACTCTGAGAATCAGCAGCGGAGAGAGAGAGAGAGAGAGAGATTGAATGTGTGTGTGTGTTTGTTTGTTTGTGTGTGTCAGAGTGACTACCACATACCTGAGAGAGGCCGACCATTTGGGGTCTATTGACAATCCCACTACTCTGATTCCCGGGACGTTACTTAGTAAACCTCCTACTATCAGCATTCCTGTTTAAAAATGTTTAAAAAAAAAAGCTCTACAAAAATTTTGAACAAGTAATTTTATATTCTTCAGTCTGAAAAAGAGATATTTTCCGTAGAGCGAAAAGAACATGCAAAGCTGCAAAGACGAAAGGCAAAATCAAGGTTTTAGAGTAACATTCTTTGGCCTATATATTCGTATCTCTTCACTATCTCGTCATAACAATGCAACTTTGCTATTTCCAATTTTCAATCTGAGGGAAAAGGTGCAATTTTTTAAAAACAAGTATTATTAACAAATATCCTTTACACATGTGCAATGTGTAAATAACCCATAAATCGTACAAACATGTACAGTTTTAATATTCTTTTTTTACTAAATTATTGTTTTATTCGATACTTTCTAAAATTCTAACGAACTCGTAACAGAGAATGAAATGAAATTCCTTAAAATTGTATAAAAAGAATAAAATAAGCGTAGATTCTCGATATCAAACAAAATAGAAAATAAATACCAACAAATACCATACAATGGGTTTCTTTCGAGTTTGTAAAATTTGACGTTTTGATTGCTCGAAGGCATGTCAATAATTTTGGCGGAACTTTTTTGTCGAGCACTGGGTTTCAACAACTTGTAATTTTGCAGTCCAGAAAAATAATTTGGTGCTGATTTATAGAAAACTGCTTAAAGAACCTCATCCATATACATTTATAGCTTATATACATGTAGCTTAAGTTCCAAGTAAGTCTTTGGCACGGTTAAACTTTTAATTAGCAATTTACTTAATAGTTCAGAGAGTAGTTATAACAGACGGACCAAAGCTATTTCTTGTGTTCAGTAACTTCACAAAAAGATGCAATTTCTAAATTGTGGCGGACTTCTACCGAATAACTAAAATAAGCCAAGATAAGCATCATCAATTTCTCTGTGGAAGCTAGAATCTTTTTTTTCTTGGCTTCGCTTTTTTCTTTTTTATGCAGAAACAGTTCTAAAAATGTTTTTATCAGTAACTTTATTACATAACAACTTTAAATAAACCCTTTTGAACCTACAGAAAGATTTTCATGATACTTTTAACGATTCTATTGAATTACTGGCAAAGATGTTTTTTTTTATATGTCAATCATAACAATGTGACAGTACCTTCATTTCAAAATTATAAATCTATAGGATCTAAATCTACAGTCTTTACTTAAATATAAGTTCTGGGTATCTCAGCTTTTGTTTTCACTGTCGGTTCAAATTAACTTACCCAATAAAGGGGGTAAACGTATCAGGGAGAAGATATGACCGCCAATAACGGCCCCAGCAAACAAAACGAGGAGTGAAAACAAGTTTCCTCCTGGACTTGACTGTTCCTTAGAAACAGAATACAAGATAATCCACGCCGAAACACAAATAAAACAAAACATCGAATATAAAGCACAGTTTCCATGAGGGGGCCAAATAACCCATTTTCCTCCCAAAATCGTCTTTGAATTTTTGCAATCGTTATCGCTGATGGTTTTGGAATTTGGAAGTAGAAACTGGATAATTTTATGGAATACAGATTTGCTCTCCTCATCTGGGCAGTTTTTTGTCTTGTATTCAAATGTGAGACAGTTGCAATTGTTATTCATCTTTATTTGCGTTCTCTAGGGAATAGAAAAAAAATTAATGATGATTCAATAAACCCTTTTACATACATACTCTCCTATACAAAAAAAAAAAATTAATGTTTTAACTAAAATTTGTATATGACAATTTGATCAGTAATGTACTCATTGGCAATTGAAAATTGTTGATTAGTGAAAGACAATACTTTGAACATAAGAAAATAATATTTGTGCAAGATTTCTGAATGACTTATAGATTGCATATCTGTAACTCTAAAACACTGTCTTCGTAAAACATCATTTATTGCATTCTAATTATTTTTGTTAATTTAAATTGAGAAACTTACCTGTATTTTTCAGACTGCATGGAAGTTTTGGTTCTTGCGCTATTAAAATAGTTTGCAGCAATTCTTTATATAAATGAAGTTTAATCACGCATGCGCAAATTTAACATTTTCATCCCCATCTCCTTGGTGAAACGACGAAAATTATACAGGGAAATTTGTCAATGTGAAAACGCGCATATCAGTCCATAGCAAGTATAACTGCTGTCAAAAGTAAGTTGATTTCTTGATATATTTCGAAGTCTCTATATATGAATTTGGAAATTGTTTAAGGTATTCTTTTCAAATATTATTTAGGAATTACACAGAGAGACATTTCATAAAAGCAATTGCTGTAAAAACTAAGTTCATTTCTGAATATTTTACGTAGTATCAACATGTACCCCATATGACCTTGGAGATTGTTAAGGGTTGACTATTGCAATATCGTTTCAGGAACAACATAAAGCTAGATTCCATACCAAGCAACTGCTGTCAAAGTAAGTTGAATTCTGGATATATTACGGAGTATAAACATGAGCCACTTTATCGGAACTTGGAAATTGTTAATGTTTTTTTAATATTGTTTCAGGAATAACATAAAGTGACCAAAATGTCATTTCGGAATATGTGCACATTCGAGCCCCGTGGCGTTCTTGCAATGATGGTTCAATTTTTTGTCCTTTTGTTGATGGTTTGGACAGTGACCCTATCCATTACAGACCAATCGGCCCTCCCCGGCGGGCACCTGTTTTCCCTTATTATCCTCTTTGTTAGCGCCGTGTCGGGAGGATATATATTTTCTTTGATTCGTTTACCACCATTACTGGGTATGATTTTTTTTTAAATTTCATTTTTTTTGTCTTTTCTCTGTTCCAGCATCACGTGATTAACGAACTCACTTATTAATTTTTCGTGGGCGTTTCAGATTTATTTCTTTATTTCTAAATTTTGGTCATTGTATTTTTAGATAAAAGATTATATAGCTTCTATGCTGTTTCTGAAAACTTTTTTTGTCACCAATGAGGAAAAGACTTTAATATGATTATTTTATACACGATTTCCTTCATATATTAAACCCTGATATTTTAAAAGATGATTTTCGAAATCATTATTTGACCTGAGTAGGTATGATCTTGGCGGGATTTGGTCTAAGTAACCTTCCTGTGGTTTGTTTGGTCGGACAGAACGTGACGCCAATTTGGTCCGGAGCTTTAAGGTAAGATTCTTTCCTTGTTTAATAACAAGGATGTGATTCGTGTAAAATATACAAAACAAACCGCCTTTATTTTAATTAGCTATTGGTGAATAAATAATTATGTAATTTATCGACAAGACATGAATTATGTAAAAAAAAAATTATGGTTTGCTTCAAATCGTCAATTAGTGGGTTTTTGCGTAGAGATTAATATATACTATTAAAAAATTATTTTTATATACTATGTATCTATCAAAGATTGATGTATACTATTTAAAATGATTGAAACATACCATTTATAAAATTTTGCTTTTTTTTTTTTTACTTTTTGTCTCCTTTCCATGGCACAATTGCTATTTGTCTTCTCTGTAAATCAAAATCCTGTGGGGTCTATTTCTATCTTCTCTTCTCTCTATATTATAGTTCTGTGGTGTCTATCACTATTTGTCTTCCCTCTATATTATAAATCTTTGGTGTCTATTACTATTTGTCTTATCTCTATATTATAAATCTTTGGTGTCTATTACTAATCTGTATATCATAAATCTTTGGTGTCTACTATTTGTATGCTCTATAATAGATCATTAGTGTCTATTACTATTTGTCTTCTCTCTATATTTATAGAAATCTTTGCTGTCTATTACTAATTGTCTTATCTCTATATCATAGATCTGTACAATGTAGTGTCTATTACTATTTGTATTCTCTCTTTTTCATAGTTTTGTGGTGTCTATTACTATTTGTCTTATCTCTGTATTATAGATCTATAGTCTATTACTACTTGTATTCCCTCTGTTTCATAGTTCTTTGGTGTCTATTACTATTTGTATTCTCTCTATATTATAGTTCTGTGGTGTCTATTACTCTCATTAAAATTTCTTTGTGGTCTTTTTGCTTCTTGTCCTGTGGTCTCTATTCATGTAACTAGTTTTTTTGTTTTCTTTATCTCCTCTTTATTTTAACTATGGCAGTTTTATTTTTGCATTCATATCTCTGTCACCTGTAAGTCGACATTCGGATGGAGCACTAAATGTAGACTATATGTCAATGACCCATAACAGAGTTGACATTCCCGCGTATTTAAAAAAAGAACGACTATTATTAATGATTAAGTGTAAAATGATTATTATTTTTTGTTTCTCCACACTGGCTGTTTTAACTGGAAATATTCCTCGTTATTACATTGTCACGAAAATATGAAAATACATAAATCTTTAAGTTTTGCGTTTTTCAAATTCGTGTTTTTCGGCACGATAATGCAATAAGGACTCAGTTGTCACATCGCTCACCAATGACAAGAAGTACTGGTTATCAGGAAAGTGATGTAAAATGAACATTTCTGATATTTTTAAATCACAATACTTGGAAAACATTAATATCTTCATTGATATAGTATAAATATCGCTTAAATGTGATAATAATTGTAGATATTCTGAAGAGATTCCAATTTTGGTCGCCATTGGTACAAATTTGTGCTTCTACAGCACGGAGACAATCTACGTTATTTTTGGAATAATTAGTGATGTACCCTATTTTTTTTAAATAAGAAGACAAAAAGGTTATGGGCTAATTATATAAATTATTTTGATTAATTAGGTCAAACAATAATCTGCCTACATTTTTTAAATATTTTGTAATTTCAAAATCATCCCATTCATAAAGTATAACGTGGCTTTTTGTTGTCCAACGCTTTTTTAACGGGTCAAAAAATGTGCGCTTTTTTCCTCCTTCAGGCACGCATTTTTTCGACTCTAATAAAAAAAAAAGAACATTAATTGCAAACTTTTAATTCAATTAAGCCATTTTTATTCATTTCATATACAGATAATGCACCTTAATTTAAGATAAATTCCTTTCTACACTGAAATCATTTGGTCGCCATCGTGGTGCAGTGGTTAGAGCGTCTGCTCTAGAATCGCGGAGTAAGAAAATGATCCTTACGTCGCGGGTTCGAATCCCACTGTGGGACGTGTGGACCGGTCCTTCGGATGAGTCCGTATATACCGAGGTCCCGTGTCGCGGCAGATGCTGGTTCATAAAAAAATCCCTCACTGTTCAAAGGCAATGTGTCGAGTAAAGAACTGTCTAAATGTTCAGTACTCCACCACCCCTCCACCGGCAAGTGTGGCTGCGTCTCAGTATAAGTGAAAAATTATGGAAGGGATGTTGAACAAACAAACGAAACGAATTGATTTTGATCAGATAGGAAACCAAGGATGCAAAGTATAATTGAATAGGGTTGTTCTACTTTAATACAGAAATGATCATGCACTCATTCCATCGTGTTACAAAATGTTAATGTTATTTCTTGGTAAACTAATTAATATTGCTGCAGTATATCTTTTTTCCAAGATTAGAACAGAATAAGAGCATAAATTTTATCCTTTCAATCATAATTGACACGCTATTTCATTTTTGATTCATTTCATGTGTCTAATTATTCAATGACATCACTTTCGATCACCCATGTTCTTTTATACATATGTATGAATACACAGAATTAGGTTGAAAATGAAGTGTGTCTTTGTAATAAATTAATGCAGTGACATATTGGCAATGAAATTGAATGTAAACTTTGTGATTGATATTGTCATTATTATAACATACATATGTATATATGTTTGGAAACGACTTTTGTAAAATATTTTTAATGAATATCGTGAAAAAAAAATTGTCAAAAAAAACACATCAATTCATAGGCTGCTGTACACACAGAAACCTTGAAGATGTGCGCTCATAATATAACTATTGAACTACTGACCTATGTTCCATTAAGTAGCGTGTTTACAAATATTTTCTCCTGTTAAAACATGTAAAAGAAATATGTCCTTTTAGTAAATGGGGTCATTTACATGCGGTTTTCAGAATTGTACAGATGCAGTAAATATTTTGTTTTAAATGTATAACAGTAACAAATATTGTGTGCTTATTACTGCAAAAACAAACTCAAGAGGTTGTACAAATTATGAAATATTTCTTCTAAAAATGTTTCTGAAATTGCAATTTTCGAAGAAAGAAGATTTTGTGTCTACGAAAGTCAAGCATAAATTATGTTAAACCCTACAGCAAGAGTGTATTTATCCTTAAACGTAGATTTAAAAATGATATTTTTGTAAAATACAATACATTCACCCCCTTAGCCAAAACAAATTGTAATTTAAGGTAGGATTCTTCTCATATTTCTAATATTTAAAAATTAATGAAATTTTCACAGAATCAAGAAGACAATATAAGTAAGTGATAGTGTCAGTGAAATTAAATTTGACCGTTTCATATTAGAGGCAAGGTAAGGTCAAGGTCATTATCTTTTTCCTTGACATTAAGAATAAAAAAAATACTGTTGCCAATCATGTGATACCTACTTCTATTTCAAAAGTTTAAAGATTGTTCTTTTTGCATAAAAACATATTACTATATCGGGTCTATAGCATGATATTACCAAATTTACATAAATAATTTAACTTAACTGGATATTGGCTAATCCGAATTCTCTCTGTTTTTCTTATTTTTTTTTAGGATATATTAGTTATTTTCATATGCTTCCTATATTTAACTTTTTCTTATTTTCACATATAATAAAGTAGTCTTATAAATGTACAAAATGATACAAAAACAAAAAAGTTTACTAAGAGAGAAAAAATACTTTTTATGGATTTTTGGCTCAAATCTGCACTTTGATAGGAAGGGTTTAAAAGCTAACAAAGTTCTAGTTTGTTTGGGAAATCATATTTATTTGATATATTTTGAAAGTTTAGTCCCTCATTATTAATTCAACTTACATTTGAAAATTTCTCCAAGTCTTCGATTGTGTAAAAATTCATAACTAAATTCATTGTTCTATTATAATTTTGAGAGGCAGAAAAGAAGATATTTTCATACGGCACCATTCCGCCAAAAATATAGTCCCTGCTAGTTTTCAAGTGCAGTTTACCATTTCTATTTAAAGTTGTACCATTGTGATGAGGAAAGAAAAATATGGTCTTTTAAATTCCTTACACCTCAATATATAAGACATATAAGCAAATATACTTTGAATGTTTCATCTAGTCAGAAACCAGAGAAGAATCCTACCTTAAGCTTAATACCGTAAACTGTTCTTTGACTCTGACCATTAATCTTGACCTTTCATACCAAGGCGAAAATATGCTGATGTTGAAGTCCATGTATTGGTATAGATGCAAATAAGCTGAGAAAATCCATTGTCTTAAAGCTATATATGGTGTATCTGACTAAAAAATAAAAATACGAGATTAAGTGTATATTTACATGATATTTGTTATTTACGTTTAAATTCAAATTTCCACCGATTTTACTTAGATATCCTTGCGTAGATAAATTTAATGTAATTTACAGGAAAGTCCTATATGTATAGAAACAAAACAAATAGAGAGGTCTTTTTAATGTTAGTTAGTCTGAACTTATCAAATATACGCCATATAATTATGATTTTACACAGGTTGTGAAATGGAAATCCGTATTGGGCGAGGCGAATCAAACTTTATTATGATGTATATATTAAGTATCAGTTGATCAGGCTCCAGTTTAAATTTGGACATCCACCTGAAGTTGTGAGGCTGATATTTGAAAAAAAAAAGATTAATATAAATCTACTTTTTCTTAGAATTCATCAAAGATGAGAAAAATGTTGATTATTAAACTTTTAATGCCCCTGTAATCGGAGGTCCGGAGGCTTGTATTTATGCTCTTTCAGTCTGTTTTTCAAACTTTAACTTTGGCCATAATGTTTGAAAAGTTGGTGTCAGTGTTTTTCAAATGTCCCATTTGGAATTAGACCTTCTTTTATCTGTGTGTGTGTTTTTTAACGGTCCTCTCAAGAATTTTTCACTCATATGGAGACGCTGCCGGTGGAGAGCTGCTTTTGTCCTATACTCGGCACTAGGGGCCATTGAGCAGTGAAGGATCTTTTTCGTGCCAGAATCTACTGCGATACGGGACCTCCTTTTATACGGTCTCAACCGAAAGTCGCACGGTGGGATTCAAACCCGCGACACAAGGATCAACTCCTTCGTTCGCGACTCTACAGAGCAGATGCTCTAACTGCGCCACGCGGGCGACGACCTTCCTTTACCTTTCCAAATTTTTTTGATGGTTGGTGCTAGGGCTTTTGCAATTCATATGTGTATTTATTGCAATTAAACCTTTCTTAGTGCACCAATATTTTCGATCTCTTGTAGCTTGACTTGCATTTGGAAATTTTCACCTTCGCGATGAGGTGCCATGCAGAAGCATCGGTGTTTTACAATGTTTCAGAGTTTCAAATCTTGTTGACTTGTTCTTATCTTCTTGTAGGAAGATCATTTAGCCACGAAGCTTCCCATGAAGTATAATTTCCTTGAAAAGAAATTAAATGAAGTTTTTGAAATGAAAAACATGTATTTTGTCTTCTTTAAAGTTCCATAATTGAAGGTTTGAGACATACTAAGATATTTTAGAATCATCATTGGTCGTGGGGGACCAATGCTCGTGGATTTACCTACGAATTTATATCCCCGCGAACGTTATTTTTTTAACATATTGATTCATTGAAACATCGTTTATACGAGTAATCTTACATCCAAACGAACTGGTCAAATTTTGCTTACCAACAAACATTGACCCCCACGAATTAAAATGAGTCCACGGTATACATGTAGTTTTTAGTACGCTTGTCTGTCTTTCTGTTTTAAAAAATAAACTTGGATACAACTTTTATTTTGCACATCTCTCTATCTTGAGCATTTCTCCCCAGTTCTCCCATAGTTAGTTTGTGGTCTCTCGTTTCCCCTTCCACAATCCTTCATCAGATGTTCTTTGGTCGACCAGGTTTGCTCTTCCCATCGAAGTGTTATTTTGGTGATGTTGTTGACTAGTTTACTCAACAAATCCCCCTTTCCATCGCCTTTCACTTTGTCAATAAAGCTTTCATATCGTCTGCACGTGTTTTATTTCTCATGAAGTTCCACAATAATTCAATTTCATTTGACCAGAAATCCTCATAATCTTTCTGAGGCACCCATTATGGAAACTAGAAAGCATTTTAGATTAATTTAGATTTTCGAAGAACGTGTCGTCAGACTTTAAACTTGAAAGTTTATCTGGTAAGTGGAGGGGGGTGTAAACATTAAACTTGACCATGCCATAAGATTTGAATAGTTAGAGGTAGGGCATTCATAGCTCACATGGGTATTCTTCGTGACAACACCATGCAATTTTTTTTAAAAAGTAGTGTTGTAACAATGCCAGGTTTTTGTTGTTGTTGACAACAGGAGGATAGCGTTGACTGTGATCTTAATCCGTGCGGGACTGGGACTCGATCCGGTGGCGCTCAAGAAGTTGTCCAGGACAGTGATCAAACTAGCCTTCTTACCGTGTATCTCTGAAAGTGTGATATGCGCAGTAACTTCTCACTATCTGATTGGTCTTCCATGGGATTGGTCATTTATGTTAGGGTAAATAAAACCATTCATATTTTTTTTCGCGTTACAAGTGGAATATGTGCATGCGTAATGATTGAGATTCGGCCATTTCTCTTTTTTTATATTCCTTTCTTTATTTTTGTCCCCCGCTTTCGCGAAAGCGAGGGGACATTAAATCTCATTCGTCTGTCCGTCCGTCTGTCTGTCCGTCAGTCTGTCCGTCCGTCACAAAAACTTTAACCTTGCCCATAACTTTTGATTTAGTGGAGCTATGACTTTCATATTTCATATGTATATTCCTTGTCACAAGACCTTTCTTTGGGTACCACCAAATTTGACCTTTTGACCTTGACCTTGGAGTTTGATCCACTTTTACACAAAAATTCCAAATTTTTACTTTAGCCATAACTTTTGAATGGTAAGTACTAGGACTTTCATATTTCACATATGTATACTTTGTAGCAAGACCTTTTATTGGATACCAACAATTTTGACCTTTTGACCTTGACCTTGGAGATTTCCGTACTTATCAGAAAACTTTAACCTTGACCAATACTTTTGAATGGTAAGGGCTAGGGCTTTCATACTTCATATATATAATTCTTGTGAGAAGACCTTTCATTGAATACCAAGAACTTTGTCCCTTGGACCTTGACCTTGGAGTTTGACCTACTTTTCAAAAACGTTTACCTTGGCCACAACTTTTGAACGGTAGATACCAGGACTTTCATATTTCACATATGTATTTCTTGTGGCAAGACCTTTCATTTGATACCAACAACCTTGACCTTTTGACCTTGACCTTGGAGATTTTTTGTACTTATCAAAAAACTTTAACCTTGACCATAACTTTTGAATGGTAAGGGCTAGGGCTTTCATATTTCTAATATGTATACTTTGTAGCAAGGCCTTTTATTGCATACCAACAACATTGACCTTTTGACCTTGACCTTGGAGATTTCTGAACTTATCAAAAAACTTCAACCTTGATCATAGCTTTTGAATGGTAAGGGCTAGGGCTTTCATATTTCATATATATAATTCTTGTGAGAAGACCTTTCTTTGAATACCAAAAACTTTGCCCCTTAGACCTGGACCTTGGAGTTTGACCTACTTTTCTAAAATTTGACCTTGGTCACAACATTTGAACAGTAGATACCAGGACTTTCATATTTCACATATGTATTCCTTGTGGCAAGACCTTTCATTTGATACCAACAACCTTGACTTTTTGACCTTGACCTTGGAGATTTTTTGTACTTATGAGAAAACTTTAACCTTGACCATAACTTTTGAATGGTAAGGGCTAGGGCTTTTATACTTCACATATGTAATTCTTTTGAGAAAACTTTTCATTGGATACCAAAAACTTTAACAATTTGTCCCCTTGACCTTGGAGTTCAGTAATAATATTCTAAGTAGATGACATATGATAGGGCGTTCATATTAGACACAAAATGTCATTAAAAAATGACATCTCACCCAAAAAGACACCGAAAGCGGGGGACCACAATTCTTTGAATTTGCTTGTTCCCCCTTAGATTTGTGTTGTCTGCTATTTCTCCCGCTGTCGTTGTACCCGCCCTCCTAAATCTCGCAGAGAGGGGATACGGATTAGACAAGGGCATCCCCACCCTAGTCATTGCTGCCGCCAGCATTGACGATGTCGTCTGCATCTCAGGGTTTGGAATTGCTCTTGGAATTGCATTTTCTACAGGTTTGTAAATGATACAAAATCTATTCATTACTATTATATAATGGCATATATTTATTTATTTTAAATTATTATAACTTATGAACTTTTCAAATAATGTTAAAAGGTGACCTGGCGTTGACAATAGCAAGAGGACCGCTAGAGGCAATGTTGGGCGTAGCGTATGGTGTCGTTTTAGGGCTATTTTTATGGATTATTCCAGCAAAAGATAGTGTATGTATCAAAATCACATTTTTATGCCCCCGTAAACGAAGTTTCGGGGGTATATAGTTTTTGTCGTGTCTGTCCATCTGTCTGTCCAGCTGTCTGTCTGTCTCTCTTTCTGTCTGTTTGTCCACAAAAACTTTAACCTTACCTGTAACTTTTGATTTAGTGGAGCCATGACATTCATATTTCACATGTGTATTCCTTGTGACAAGACCTTTCTTTGGGTACCACCAAACTTGACCTTTGACCTTGACCTTGGAGTTTGACCCACTTTAACGCAAAAATTTTGAACTTTGACTTTGGCCATATCTTTTGAACAATAGATACCAGGGCATTTATACTTTACATATGTATTCTTTGTGGAAAGACCTTTCATTGGACACCAACAACTTTAACCTTTTGACCTTGACCTTGAAGATTTTTGTACCTATAAAAAAACTTTAACCTTGGCTATAACTTTTGAACAATAAGTACCAGTGATTTCATACTTCATATACGCAATTCTTTTGAAAAGACCTTTCATTGATACCAATAACTTTGACCCTTTGACCTTGACCTTGGAGTTTGACCTACTTTAAAAGTACAACCTTGACCATAATTTTTAAGGGTTAGGACTAGGGCATTCATACTTCACAAAGGATGACTGCACTTAAGGAAACTTAGAAATTGCGACATAATTAATTTTTTAAATGGGCATTTCTCTTTCAATGGTAGAAATGGTCAATGTCTTAACTGCAACTTTGTGTAATTACGTTAATTAAAAGTTCGTATTAACGAAGTTCGAAGTCGTTTTTATAGAGAGGGGTCATCGCATATTCTGGAATCTCCATAGGATAATGAGTACGCCCATCTTTTTACAGGCTTAATACATAGTCAGCGCATGTTTTTGTATTGTTATACTTTTTATGGTAGTTGTATATTTATATATATTACCTCATATTAAAAGGAGATCAATAGACAAACATGCGCTCATGGTTAAAAAGAGAAAAAACTGTTTCTTCGTGTGTTCACTTTCTCTATAGTATACAGGCCATTTTGACCACGTTGTTACCTGTTGAATATTATAATTAACCACGTGATTTCTATACCCAGGTAACTCTGTGAATACTAAAATTCCATCACGTGACGTGTAAGGAAACACGCATTCTGCTTGTCGATAGTGATTGTTCATATCTGATTCAATCCATTCCCATCGAGCCACGGGTTATTCTTTTTTCTCTAAGATTATTCTTATATTTATCTCATAAGCGTTTCATTTTACTATCCTTATATATTTTTGAATGCATGTCTCTACATGTTCGTAGACTTCAAGAAAAAAAGATTTATTTATTATGTTTTGGACCATTGCCTAACATGAACATTCAAAGTAAGATCCAGTAAATAAAATTGAAATCATACCATCCTCGGTACGCTAATTTTTAGGGAAAAATAATTTTAAAAGAAACAAAAAAAAACTTGAGTAATTGTGATGTTTTTCTTTCTTTTTTATAAAAGGGAAAAAGAAAGTCAGTCTTACTGTTGTAAGCGTGTGTTCGATCCGGACCTAAATATTATTGATTCTGTGCATTACCGACTGAGCTAGTCGGCACTTACATTCGAACACGCGAATTGTTGACATCAGCCATTGCTGTTGATTATCAAAGAGAATGGCAACCTCTGCCGGTCGATGTTATTTGTTATTAGTTATATATACTTTATTTAAAAAAATTAAAAAACTAGTGCTAATTGTAACGGGGACCGTTACAGATGTTCCCCAAACGCTCCCGAACTCCCTTTTGGTGCCATATTCCCTGTAAGCTTCATTAAATAAGACAAACTCTATGCATCTGAGATTTTAACAACATTTACAAAGAAGTGTACAAAAATCATTTAAACTTAAGCATTGCACGCGTGCACATGTGAATGCATTTGCATCATGACCATATCATCTTGTCTACACAATCTATATTTTTAATACACTGAATATTAAAGTATTTAATCCAAAATTATTTTAAAAATACGCTCATTCAAGTGTATGTTTGATTTTACTCATTTCACGTGCACGCACGTGCATACATGAGCATGGTGACCATACCTTCTTGTAGAAGTCCATTACATCTATCTATGTTCTAAATTCCACCCCGTTTGGGTGAAAACTAAGGGAGTTATATAGCTGTTTAAAGTTTCAGCCAATCAGATTGCAGCACATGTACACTCACGTGTATGCATGTGCATTGTGACCATACCTACTTGTAGAAGTCCATTATATCTATCTATGTTCCATATCCCATCCTGTTTGGTTGAAAACAAAGGGAGTTATAGCTGTTTAAAGTTTCAGCCAATCAGATTGCAGCGCACGTGCATGCACGTGTTTTCATGATAATTGCTTTATTTCATGTTGTAGGATATCCTAACGCATGACTATGTTCAAAATTTCAAAGGATTTCGTCAAAAAACAAGAAAGATATTGAGACTTTAGTTGCAGCCAATCAGAGCGAAGTGCACGTGCATGCGCGTGAGATCTTGCTATTTTCATCATGTCGTCATGTCTATACTACTAATATATCCTCACATTATGAGTTTCAAAGCATTTCATCTAAAAATAGAACAGTTGTGGCTATATCTATTATATTGGTCATTTCACGTGTTGCACGTGCACGCTCTTGCAAGCACGTGCGCGCAAAATGACCTTGATTCCGCAAATCTACATAACATGTCTACTAACCCTAAAAAGGTTTTATCTACATCGGACGAACAGTTTACAAGATCATTCCCGGACAAAAAAGTTCCAGGAAGAAGAAGAAGAAGAAGAAGAAGAAGAAGAAAAATAATAATAATAATAAGAAACAGAGTAAAAACAATATGTTCCCCAACTTCGTTTGGGGAACATAATAATAGTGACAAACATATGACGAGAGAGAGAGAGAGAGAGAGAGAGAGAATGCACCAAATATAAATACAGTAGCTATTCTAATTTTAGACCACTAGCTCATCACAATATTAGCTCCACCTCTTATGCATATTTATAAATCTTATCTTCAATCAAGGGCAGATAAGTCTAATTTCCCGATATTTGCAGAGAGATGGGGTAAGGAAACAACGAATTATTTCATTGCAACGCAGTTTATAACCTTTATGACATTGCATTTCATTTGGAAATAGACCAACCTCTATAATAAATGACTTGAGACAAAAATAAAAACAAAAATAAATGTAACAACAGAGATTGAAAAAGATCCAAAAACAGGCGTTAAGTGCAGTTATCCTTTAATCCTTGTGACAAGACCTTTTATTTGATATCTAGAACCTTGACCCTTTGACCTTGACCTTAGAGTTTGACCTACTTTTTACAAACTTTAACCTTGACCATAGCTTTTGAACAGTAAGGGCTACAGCTTTCATATTTCGCATGTGTGATCCTTGTGACATGACCTTTCTTTGGATATCAAGAATCTTAACCCTTTGACCTTGACCTGAGAGTATGATCTACTTTTTACAAACTTTAACCATGGCCATAACTTTTCAACGGTAAGAGCCAGCGCTTTCATACTTCCCATACGTAATCTTTGAGACAATGCCTTTCTTTAGAAACCAACAAGCTTGACCCATTGACCTTGACTCGGAGTTTGTCCTATCTTATAAAATGTTAACCTTGGTCATAACCCAGGAACAGGTGTAGCTAGCGTTTTATATTTCGCATTTCTTGTGAAAAGGCCTTGCTTTTGGTAACAATATATTTGATTTGCATTTGAGAAAGCTTAACCTTCGCTATGTTGCCATACGGGGACATCAGTGTTTCACAAACACATCTTGTTTTTCTCAATAAATTCAATAACTTGCCATTTAAAACAAATCTAGGACATACCCAATCAAAGGTATTGCAGTTTCGTTTATATTGTATTTTTGCAGTCCAATCTTATTTTCTATCGTGCCATGCTGCTATTTTCTGGAGGAATGCTGGCGACATTCGGTAGTGTGTATGCCGACTTATCGGGAGCTGGGCCACTGGGTTGTCTTGTCTTAGCTTTTGTTTGTGGAATCAGATGGCGAAAAGAAAGTACAAAAGAACAGTATGTAAGTATCAAATGGCCTCAAAATACAACAAATATAGCCTTTTCGTAAGGTCGGTCCATATATAGACATTACAGAAAAACCATATCAACCGAGCACAAATGCGAGTTCGATGAGTTTTTCTCGGAAATGAATTTATCTATGGATTGAATTTTTGGAAAAGTCAGATTTACTTTATTGTATAGTCATTTCACATCAAATTCATAACATTCCCATAAATATCGTGTCTTTAATAGGCCGTTATTACGGACGCCGTGGGACTGCTGTGGATGATCTTCCAGCCTCTACTGTTCGGACTAATTGGTGCCGCGGTCAGAGTGGAACATATACAGAACCTTAGGATCGTCGGTAATGTTTCTGTTATACATATAACTGCATTTATAAGGCATTGATTTTGTTAAACGTGTTATTACAAAACGTTTTTTTTTCATTTTGTAGGACTTGGAATAGCAGTTCTTTTCATTGGTCTAATGATAAGATGTCTTGTAACATTTGTAGCCGTTTTCAGATCTGGGTTGAACTTCAAAGAGCAATTGTTTGTATCGCTGGCCTGGATTCCAAAAGCCACCGTGCAGGTAACAAATACACCAAATCTTGTCCGGTATCCTGTAAGGGGAAGAAATACAAATTCCAAAAAAATTATATTTTTTGTAGGTGTTTAATAATACATGTTCGATTATTTTACACCACAGGCGGCGATAGGTGGTTTGGCGCTTGACCAGGCTACACATGACAAGGATGAGGAACTAAAACCTCTTGGAATAATTGTTCTGACTATAGCGGTATTATCCATAATGATCACCGCCCCTATCGGGGCCTTAGCTATAGCAGTGTCAGGACCAAGGTGTCTGAAACACGACAGTGAACATGAAAGGCGGGCTAGTACGTCACAAAACGAAGAAACGACAGATAATACTCAGGCGAGAAATGGTGTGATTTGTAATGGAAATGTGAGGGAAAAAGTAATTGAAGATGAAAATGTTGACATTGTTGTAACACATATTTGAGAATATATTGGGATACTTGAGAAATAAGTTATAAGTTTCAGGCGCGGGTCCAGGATTTTTTCCAGAAGGGGGAGGGGGGAGGTTGGGTTCCAACCCTGTCCAAAAAAATCCAACCTTGAAATTTGCCACACACCTTTATATAATCAGCATCAACATCATCATGTTGTTACGACCTCGACACCTGAACTCGATCATTCATCGCCAGTGACTTCTTAGAAATGACTTTAAGTAAGGTTTGAATCATTCCATTCAAGGACTCCAGTGGTTCGGCGAGACTTTCTCGCCCATATAGCAACATTGAACGTTGAGGCTGCTCAACTTTGGTTAAAGGTCACAGACTTAGAACTTAGCAACAATCCAACAACATATTAAAATTGAAACCCATTCCAAAATCGATTTTCTGTGTGTGTGTGTGTGTGTGGGGGGGGGGGGGGGGGGGGGTAGTCCTTGGGTTAAAGTTTCATATTAAAGATTTTTTATACCAATTTAACACAAAGGATATGGTAGGGTAACGGCCGAATCTGGCCCCTTATTTGATATAAAAAAAAAATCGGAACACTGGTAAAATTGAGATAGTTTGTAGCTAAGCCACAGGCCTTTTTAAGCGATCCAAAGGCCTGTGAGCTAAGCACATAAAATGATGCTTGCTTTAAAACCAGCACTAATTTTTTATTCAACGCATACCTGGAGGCCACTGTGGGGTGCAGAAGAAGAGCATTTTCCTGAATTTCCTCATTTCTGGTGGAATTTATTCATATTTTAGATACTTTTCTCTTCGGAAAACATAGAGCACAAGCTTGCCTATCTGAGATATTTACACATAAACTGTATCCAATACTAGCGTATAAAATATATAAACTTGATAGATAGGCACGCTTGTGCTCTATGTTTTCCGAAACAAAACGTGCTGTAAAACCGATAAAAAAATTGCAAAAAGAAATATTTTCCAAATACCAATACTCATTTTTTGGCAGGGGCGACAACAGGTTTTTATGGATAAACATTGTAACATTCTGAAAGGCACTCAATATTAGGGGCCAAAAAATGGATTTATCCTATCTTGTCCTTTGCGTTTTCGAGGGGGAGGGTGTGTGTGTTCCGATCATATACATTTAATAACTGCAAATTCCAGGGGGGTCCCCTCTCCTCTAGGTCCGCGCATGAGTCTTAAACTTTTATCGGAATATAAATACGGGTTGGTCATGTGATAAAATCCCAAATAGCCCTTGGGCTTTGGCTCTTCGATTTTATCACGTATCCGTATCTAAATCAATTAAAATTGATACACTAATACTTATTTTCATATTTGTGATTGGTTCACAATAATATTTGCTTACATTAGTTAATATTTTAAACCCATGAAATTATTTATTTTTTCAAACCTCAAAAATTAAATGTTTTAACACGTTGACCACTTATGACGTCACTATGAAAATATATTGTTTATGACGTCTGAAAAAACGTAATGAACCTATCTAGATGTTTACGCATTTTTCAATGTTATATAAGAAAAAATTGCAAATGTAAATTTTGAAGAATATTCTCCAATTATGTGCTTAGTTGCGAATTTTTCGTGTTCATAACGTGTTCATGACAAGTTATGACAAGTCTTAAAATCCACATTTGTGTAATGGGAGAAACAGGTGCACATTTTTTTTTATTTCGGAGAAAACCCGAAAACTAACGAGCACCGATTATTGAAACTAAATTTCTCAGTGACTGATGTTGATGTAGTGTTTTAGTATGAATATTCAATACTTTTTTTATTTTACTCTTTCATATTGTATTCATGTATACACACCGTGTTCTGTAGGGTATGTCATACATGTATATTGTATGCAACCTATGTTTTCCTTTGTGCAAGTTTACTCTGATCCCTCCTTCACGTGTAAATTACATGCATACATCATTCAATATATATACATGTACATGTATATCAAGTAAAATGTGAATAAACAATGTGTTGTATTGGTTCTATTAAAGTGGATCTCAGAAAAAAAAATATTTTTGACACTCGATTTGATCATCAATGTTGTATATGTCCTATTCAGAATTTAGACTTTTTTTGGAGAAAGAAATATCAAGTTTACATTTATGTCATTAACACATACATGTACTAGTATTTGTTTATAACAAATGGTTTGGTTTAAGATGCACTTTGTTCTTAATTAATAAATATTGTTTATCATCTGTGTTTTTTTCTATTTTCATGCATGTGTTCATTGCCTTTATTTGCATCAGATTCTTGAGTATATATTTGTGGATTCCTACTTGAATACAGGTATTTCAACAGCCCTTCTTCAAGCGTAGTTATAAAAAAAATTAAGACACCATTCTTTGACAATGATATCAACATCCCTTCTTCAAGCGTAGTACTACAAATACAATCCCACAAAAATAAATTACACAATTGTTTGACAATGAATTTTTGAACCTGCATCATCATAGGATTACTTGCATTCCAATTAATGAGAAAACATCTTGCAGAAGCGGATTTTGTTTTCAACGTTTGTTCCTATATATATATGTGTAGTTTTGTGCACAGATATAAAGAATGAATGGTTTTAGCTTTATTGTGCCCTAAAAATTTAATGTTTTCAAAAAGTTTTGAAACTTGCTTTTAACGACGTTCGATCCTGATATTTAAAGGCTTAAACTTTTTTCACACTGTTCAACGCGTTATCGGCTACTCGGATGTTAATTTTTTAGGTATTACAAAAAATTTGTCAATTTTATGTTAAAATTGGCTCAATTTTTTCCTGAACTTTTAGAATATATTTACTATATTTGTCATAATTCGTCAAAAGAATTCATAAGAAATAATTTAATAGATATTTCAGAACACGCATAACACATTTCACTGCAAAAAGCAGCTTTGTTTGCAACCAGCATGGAAAAATAGGAATCTAAAATTAACAATACTCTACAAAGTTCAAAAGGGATAAATTGATAATTTTCTTCTAAAAAAAACCTTCCGCCACAAAATATAGTCCCTGGCTTAACCCTTCTTGAATGGAATTTCATTGTGGGTTTTACAAATGGATATAGTTTAATTTCCATTGTAGAATCTAAATTCAACATTAAAACTTAAAAACGATGTAGAATTTCAGAAATTAAGATCCAGACCAAATTTGACCCAAAAGCACAGGATCGAACGTCCTTAAATAGTAGTTGAGTTTATGACTGTGACAGATCAGAATAGAACATGTCACGAATGATCGAGTACCAGTCTGGAAATATGACATCATTAATTTTATGTATTTCGCTATTTTAAATGGAAAAGGCCTTAAAATAACCCGTTTCAAGGATAATTTTCCTGCTGGAAAATAGTGTCAACAGATGTCGCCCACTTTAATTTTTGGATATGTTGTACAAAATTCAACGAAAAATCACATATCTCAAATTTTTTGTGGGCGATGTCTGTGGACAATATTATCCGAAAGAAAATTCCATTGAAAATTGGTGTCTTCTGCAACTTTTTAAGAAAATACGGGAAAATGCACGTTTATGACGTCACAATTAGCATTTATAAAATTAATACATGTGAGAAAATAGTTTGTATGATTTTTCTGCATGGAATATCAATGATTCAGAAAGCATGAATTTTCATTTTTTACATCAGTTTCATTTTTAAGAAAATCACAGGGCAAGGTTTGTATTGAAACCGTACCTTGTTCTTTAGGTATTTATAATCAATGCATAAATCAGTGCGTGTAGCGCATGTACATGAAACAAAGAACTGTCATAAAGTACTGTACCAGATTTAATGACATTTTAATTTTTACCTTTGATAAAACATATAGTTAAAGTTGCTTGGGCTAATTTATCCTCTCGCAGTGGAGGTAGGGGGGATATATATGTAGTTACTTAAGAAATAAGATATCATTTTTAGAGTTTCATTGGGATATGACATGAAGTAGGTCGCGTGATCAAATTCTATAACACCCGAAGGGACGTAATTTGCATCGGGATATATGTGGCATGCTGCCTTGATTTGTAGATATGGGCTCTTTGCGATGGATACTCAGCCTTGCGGTTCCTTGTTACGTGTCTCAATTTTATCAGTGTTCCAGATAATAAAGTTTTTAGATTGTATGAAAATATAAGCCAAGTTCATATTCTGAAAAAGATGTGTTTATTGATTACCAAAAATAATTGGTATCAAAATGCACATAAAAATAAAAAGATGCATTCAAAAACAATAGGTTTTCTACTTCATTTACAAAATGAAAAATTAAACCACAAGCACAGCGAAGCAACATAACCTAAAGAGCAGTAACTCTTGATTTGTGTATTTTTAAAACTTAAAAACTTTTTTTCTATTGCCTGTGACCAGACGAGCTAAAAATGAAAAATATATACTTTTATAAATTCTTCAATAAAAATTCATAAAAATAAATTATCTTATATACTAGTATTCAGATGATATCTATGATTAATTTAAAATGATTTGAAAGCTAAAACATTTTGTGATTGAGGTAGCAATAATATTTACAATAACAATATGAAATCCTAAGCCTCATGCGTGTCCTCCACGTTTCCATTTTGTCCCTGTTCTAACATGGAAGATTTTTCAGGGTCTTCACTGTCTTTAGACACCACTTTCCCTGTTTTGGGGTCTATTCTGTTCAGTAAGAGGGGCCCAGACAGGGCAATCGCGAGGGCCCCAATAGGGGCAGTAATAATGATAGAAAGCACTGCTGTAGTTAGTATACTAGTTCCAAGATTAATCAGAGTGGGGTCTCCCATTTTTATTGCAGCATCCAGGGCTAATCCACCAATAGCAGCCTGTAAGAGATAGTGAAAAAAATGTACCGGTACTTTTGAGAACAATTTTGAAAATTTGTTTTCATTTTATATATAGAACCAGAAGTCTCTGTCGAGACTGTAGCTCTACTGGTTTATACTTAAAACAAGGGAAGAGTAGCAGTTGGGATTTGAAACTTTAAAACAGCAATAAATAGAAAAATGATCCTTACCACTCATCAAAATAAACACCAATGCACAATATTTTGTATCTAAGTATAGTCTTCTTGTTGCCAAGTTATATTGAAATCAGACCAAAACTGTAGGAGGAGTAGCACTTTGAAAGCATTTCAGAAAAAAATTTCTATTTTTAGCAACACGGCAACACCGTTCATCGAAATCAAAAACCGAAGCACAGAATTATGTATCTTAGTGTAGTCTACATGTGTGCCAAGTTATATTGAAATCGGACCAAAACTGTAGGAGGAGTA